ATAACAAAACGCCACTAAGCCGGGGCCCATGTTCGGCTCGGGCTGCCTAAGCCTGGCTAGATGCCTTGAAGTATGCTGTCCCTCGTGCTCAGCATGCATGAACTGCCATGAAAGGACAAAAACGAACTTCCGTGCCTCCGAAAAGTTCACAATACTTACACAAGTTAAAACTCGAGTGCTGTCATAGCGTACCATGCATCTGTGAACACAAAGTCTGGGACATGCTGTAAATTTCGCGATCTGTGTGCCTTCAGGCGCTGCAAAAGCAAATTACGGTACTCGCGCTAGAATCTGCAGCAAATGATACAGCGAACCAAAGGTCTGCAAAACAAATCTGTGAGATTTAGGGCAGTCGATGCTGCAAACTAAAAACTCATTTTGTTGTTGCATGTTGCAGCTGTTGCAAATCAATCTACACTTCTGTGTCTTCATATTGAAACTGTTGTAATCCACCACGTGTGCGTGTGCCTTAGAGTACGGGAAAAATTCGTGCTTTCGCATAAACGGAACGCTGCACTTCACCTCTAAACTGCCGATTGCACGTGCTGTCGACATTGCACATGCTCGAACTCATGCAATACTTCTGTAATGTCGAGCACATTTATGTCTCGTCATGACGCAGTCCAATGCTGCCACCAGGCAACCCCACACTTCTGCAAACCCAAGCATTGACGAAAATTGCGAGGTGGATGTTGGAAGATTGAGGATGTCAGGATACGGAAATTGAAACTTGAAAACTTCGGATTGGGACTTGTTAAGTCTGGCTTGGTATGTCAGAGAGATTCCAGACACATGCAGCCATGGTTGCTGCTGCGTCTCGCTTTCAGTCTCGCGCTGATTCCCGTTCACATTTCAAGCACAGTCGCGCACAGCCGTCCGCCAACCCAAACCCTCATAGGTGGTCGAAGGTCGAAAGCAAACACCTCAACCAGTTCATTCAAGACTACCTGTCTAGGGCCTGGAGGTCTTCAGCCCCGAACCCGGTCCTTAACTTGAAAGGCTGGCCGAAACATGCACCTGAACAACAGATCGGCTCCCTTCCCGACACATCGAGCTATGGGCAAGCAGCAAAGGGCGAGTGGTTTTGTTCGTCTTACCGTCTGTTGGTTCTACACTTCAAGACCCGACGCCCCTGACAAGCATGCTTGGCGCACTCGGCGGCAGAGGCTTGAGCCGGTAGTGTTGCTACCGGCGCCGCCGCGTCACCTGAAGTAAGAGAAGGCTTGGTCCACCCCTAATTGAACTTCGCTGTCCTGGACGTGTGTTGTTATGTAAACAAAACTATCTCAATTATGTTGTTGCTTGATCCATGTGTCCATTGCCGAGATTTAGATACAGCAGCATTCACGCACGTGCAGACAAACGCAAACACACGAAAAGCAAAAAAACAAGTAGACAGACTGTCACCAAGGCAGGCAAGCAAACAAACCAACAGAACAAACACACGCGCACACATTGTCACATGCATATGTATATGTAGGTATGTACGTATGTATGTACATTTATATATATATATATGTATATTGTGTATGTAATATGATTGTATATGGAGAGAGAAAGACACACACACACACACTTGCAGGCTCATCAACATGGTGATGTGCTCCGTGTTAGTTCTGATACCGACAAACACTGATGTTGTTGATGTTGTTCATGTTGTAGTGGTGATGGTGGTAACGAGACGCTGGGGCTGGTGACGGCGGTGATGTTGAAGAATACGAAGATGAGATGACGCTGCAACATTTTGCAAAGTCTTGCAAGGCCAAAATGGCTGACTTCGCATGCTCAGCTGAATCTGATGGTGCCGAGCCTCAACGCCTTGCACCCTTGCACCTGACACAAAGTGCGACTATGCCGCCGTCATCCCAGCGCGTTTTGCGCCTGCATGCAGGAATGAGAGCTTTGAGCTGGCCCCACATCATCACCAAAGCACCGTCACCCGGACTGCTACCACTACAGTGGCTCCTGCAGCAACTAGGAGTAGTGATCAGTACGTGACACATCGGCGCGCATTTTTGACATGTGGGCGCGTGGCTTTGGCATGTCGGCACGTGTTTTTTTGATAGATCGGCGCACCGCACTGGTTTTTGATATGTCGGCGCGCGTATTTGGCATGTCGGCAGCACCTAGGTTTTGCCATGTCGGCACGTAGATTCCTTGGCATGTCGGCGCACAGTTATTGGCATGTCGGCGCGTCGTTTTTGACACGTCGGCGCGTTGTTTTGGCATGTCGGCGGGTCGCTTCACAAATTGTCACTTGCAATTTCGTCCGCGTTCATCCCTCTGTTATTCCTTGTGCATTCCTTATAGACTCCTCACAAAAAAAGTGCTTCTTCCAACTCGGTGCATCTTGTTGCACGTCGGCACATGTTTTAAACACATCGGCCAGCGTATTTGGCATGTCGGCACGCTGTTTCAGCAAGTAGATCGGTGCATGTTTTTTCGCATGTCGGCACGTCTTTTCGGCATACCGATGAAAGCATTATGTTTGATATGTCGGCACGATATTTTTTTCGCATGTCGGCGGAGGCATTGCTTTTGCTGTGTCGGCGCATGCCGGCGGCAGCTGGGTTTTGCAATGTCGGCGCGCAGTGTTTTGCATGTCGGCGCAGGTGTTTGTTTTGACATGTCGGGGGGTGATTTGTAGCCTTTCGTTGCATATAGTGTTTACATGTCGGTGGACATCCAATTTTTGCATATCAGCGCGGGTTTTGACATGTCGGCGCGTGGCATCCCCACGAAGTTCAAGCGATTTCGTGGGCTACGTGCCGCAGGACTTTCACTTCCTTCCTGTCGTACTAGGCTAGAACATGCAGGCTAGAACATGCAGTTTGCACGGCACCGCGTAACATAATACAAGTTCGTCAAGCTCTTTAGAACAACGAATAACTTCGGCGTGTTGCCCCATACACTCATGCAATAAGCCTGTTTGCCACCTTCGGCCGACTGTTGTCGAACCATGTATCAATCAACAAGCGCCATGTCACTTGTGACTGAATGCTTGTGGCGGAATTGTGTAGTTCATGTATTTGGAATATGCAGCATACAGCCACGATTCCACTGTTTCGTCGTATGAAACTGCACTACGTGCCTTATGTTGCCAGTTGCACCATACTCTTAGTCTTTAGATAGAGCAGCCAGACAGCTGGACGATCCGCTGCATCGTATCGTGCAGCATCCTTCTACATTCGAGCATGATGTACGATACAATGCTATAGCTCGCTATGCCACGAATGTAAAATCATAGCTGTCCGTCATGCAATGTGCTACTGTGTTGCATATTTGGGTGGTGCTTCCATGTTCACCTCGGCTTTGCCTTGATGGATTCAGGCTTCAGCGTCACGTTGAACCCTCCGTGTGCCAAATTTCTGCTCTGCTTGAACAGACAAGTAGCTTCATGCAAACTCCGCCGCACAAACCCCGCTAGTACATGACATGACATGACAAATCATATCATGGCAAGAAGCTTCCAAACGTTCCAGGGATGAAAACCGTGGCGGCCGAGTCACGAACCCACCGAACAAGTCATGAACCAGAAGGTTCAACCCTCCCAGCAACGAATAGGTAAACCAGTGAAGCAACTCGCTCTGCAAGGTTTCGAAGTGCTTCTGGTGGCATTTGTCCAGACAATAGAACATTCGATAGCATGTGCGGTTCAAGCCCGCATCATCCGCTACCTCCATGCCCACCAAGCCCACCAGTCCACTAATTCAGCCAAACCGGTACATGCCATCGACCGAACTCACACGATGGCAAATTAGAATCCATGTAGCGCAGGCCGACCGGGCCCGACACCACTTAAACATTTGATCCTGATGCTCAGTCCGAATTGCACAAGTACCCTTGCCTTTTCGGTGGCGGATCTGTCTGCTGAGGGGGTGGCTCCGGCATTCCCACCCCGATCCTGGCATCGGACACAGCCTAATTCACGTTGAACGTCTCTCAGACACGTGTCGATATGTTACAGAATTCAAAATCAAAAACCTAAGGTCGGGCATTGAGCACCCCCATCGGTCCCAAACAAGCAAAGAAGCCACATGAAGGAAGACGCTCGCCGACAATCGATAAAGGGAGACAAGAGCCGACACGAAGGGGCGGTAAGGCGAGACAAGTGCCGAAGACGCAGGCACTGGCCAACTTCAGATGACAAGGAGACAAGCGCTGAAAGCCCCGCCATGCGCCAAACCTCCGTAGAGACAAGGGGAGACAAGAGCTCACCTGAAGGGAGACAGGAGAAGCTTGCGAACCTGAAGCCTAAATCAGCCCGAAGAGTCCATTCCCGAAACCCTGAGTTTCCTTGAATCCCTGCAGCTCTGAAACGGGAGCAAATGTGTGCGCACTGAACTACGCACAGACGATATCCTAAGCCAGACCCTGCAGATCCCTGCAGCCTCAACAGTAGCATAGATTTCCCAAGCCCTGTAAGCGACAGCCAGAGGGGCTCTGCGCCGATGGAACCTTGCTTGCGAGATGCGCATCGGGGCTCAACCCTAGGCACGATGCGGGGGTGACTGTGTAATAGCAGCTTCAATATCAACCAGCGAAAGCGGGAAATATGAGAAAGAGCACAGCCCACATGCACCTGATGCTCTTGCTCCGGGTTCTGGCGACCCTTTATCTGCGGTGCCTTGAGGCCTCCAGCACCTCAACACACAGCCATTACGCCAATTCAAGAAGCTTCTCTGCCCATCCCCATCCCTAGCCCGAGGTGTGAAAGAGACAGGCCGCCAGGCCCAGCCAGGCCCGAGCCCTGCGATTGGGGCCAGGACTCAGCAGGGATTTGGCGGCGAGATTCGCAGCCTCGCAGTCTATACACGACGGCCAAGACACCACGCACGAATGCAGCATACAGCACCTCTACATGTGCCAGAAGATGCCATCTCGAAATTAAACAGTAGACCACCTGAGCACGTCTGATGGACCAGTCGCATGGTCTTGACTCCGGAAGGCTCTGGAGGTGTCCTTGACAGCTTTCTGCCATGGTGAATCGACGCGCCACGTTACGCTTGTCTGCGGCGCTTGCAAGGCTGCTCTGGGCCGTCTTGGCTCTGGCTTCTGTGTTCTTCGCCCTCCGCGTCTTGACCAGACGACACCGAGGTCGCGCACTGCAGTCCAGCATCTCTGAAGAGCTGTACGACTTCGGAGTGTCCTCGCGTGGCTGCTTCGAGGCATGGCGCCATCTCAAGACGAACCCCAGCGACGATGAGGCACTGAACAATAGGCGCGTGGCCGCGAGCAGCTGCTGCCCAGAGAGGGGTCACTCCAGCGGCATCCGCCAACTCTTTGTCTGCCTTCGCTCGAAGAAGGCAGCGGACGGCGTCGGTGCTTCCACGCGCGCAGGCATTCAGTAAAGGAGTGAAGCGGCTTCCATTTCTTTGATCATTAACGGTTGCGCCAGCAGCAATTAAATACTGGATGACAGGGACATGGCCTTCGGCTGCAGCAGCGCAGAGAGGCGTGCCGCCATGACAATCTGCCTCCTCCTTGGCCGCTCCTGCTTCCACCAGGCACCTGACCACCTCGATGTTACCACGTGCAGAGGCTGCCCATAAGGGAGTCACTCCTTCCGGTGCGTCTTTCTTGTCCTTGTCCGCACCACCACGGATAAGACACTCGACAATCTCAACTTCGCCACGGGCTGCTGCAACCCACAGAGGAGTGATACCATGGCCATCAGGCCTGTCGACATCTGCCGCTGCATTGATCAAGCACTGAACCATCGACGCATCTCTTTTCGCAACAGCTATTAGCAGAGGCGTGAGCCGGGTAGAGTCCATCGTCTCTTTGTCTGCACCCGCCTGCACCAGAAAGTGTACTGCCTCGAGGTTGTCACGTACCACAGCAGCCAGCAAAGGAGTCACACCCTCTGCATCACTTCGATTCACGTCGGCCCGGGCAGCAAGCAGACAGCCCATGATATCGGTGTTGTTTCGCATCGCGGCCGCCATCACGGGAGTTACACCTTCCACATCGCATCGGTTCACGTCTGCCCTCGTCTCCACCAAGCAACGCACGACCTCCACGTTGCCGGCCCCAGCTGCAATCCGGAGTGGGCTAGCATGTGCAGCATTCATCATCTCTTTGCTTGCCCCACCTTCCACAAGGAGCTTCACCACTTCCAGGTGGCCCTCTGCGGCGGCACTTACCAAGGGAGTGTTTCCGACGGCATCTGCCTGGTCCAGGTTGGCACTGGCCTCGACGAGGCAGCGAAGGACCTCCAGATGGCCCTGCGAAGCCGCGTGAAGCAGCGGGAATCGACCATCCGAAGGCCCCACGTTGGGATCCTGAAGGAAAGGAGGCAATTCTGGTGTTCCATGACCAAAGCTCACGCTTATCTCTCGAAGTCCTGCGGTAGCTCCAGGAGGCGCCGCACCTTAGCGAAAGGTCTCACAGAAGGCCTTATATAGGGGCATCGCACCTGCTGCGCAAGGGGTTGCAAGTCTGTTTGTACTTACAGAAAAACTCCTCTCGCTATTTAGCCTGCATGGCAAGTATAAACCCGCACCACACAAACAAATCCACAAAACAGCATCATGCACCCATCTCATTGACACTCAGAACTACTGAGCTCTTGATGAATCAACAACTTGTGCCCGATGCCTTCAGAATGCGGCAAACACATGTAATCCTGGTCACATCTTCCCGATGACCAGTACGTAAAACGTCAGGCTTCTAGATCACGCTAAGCCCTCTCGTCGAAACTCAAAAACCCAAAGCCTGCAGCATTGCAGTCAGCGCAGCCCGAACCACTCCGGATCCAAAACTCTCTCAAAACATCAGACCTCGAAGTGATTGCAGCCGCAGCCCAAGCGGGAACCACGAGGCCAACTCAGAATCCTAGAGTTGAAGCGTCCAAACCAACACTCTGCAAGGAAATTATCGCAGAAATCGATGCTCCACAGCCCGACCTCGCTGACTTCACCCTGCGCAGCTGCAGCACAAAGCTGGGCCGCGTGGTCCTTCCACGCAGGTCACATGTTTCTGAAGCACAGGCCGCATGAATGAGGCTAAAGGATTGCTGACCATCGCAGTGCAGGAGTTCGGGCGCCGAAGAAATGACAGGCGGTGAGGGCTTTGGGCCCTTGGATCCACGCTGCGTTAGTGAATGCAAAGCACGGGATAGGCACATGCCCACAGCCTCGAAGAAAGAAGCCCTGTGCCTTGATCTTCAAAGTTGACCCAGCATCTACACCCTGAGCTTCAGTCCGGAACCCCAAACGTTATGTTCGAGCCATTTCTCCTGACAGTGCGGCAACACCAAGACCTGGCGAAAGGCGGAACTGTCGAAAGCTGGCTAGAGCCACTGGAGCGCCGGTTGTAAGCTGCTGGGGCTTTACAGGCTTGAGGCTGGCTTTCTGCGACGGCTGTGGGCCTTTGCAGGTGGTAGGCGTCAATTTAGGTTGTGGCGTTCCGAGCGAGGCACCGAGCCCTGAGCTCCTTCATTGCCCGGGCGAGTCAACTGGGTACAGTCCGTATGGGAAGGTGGAGTGAATCTCGTGACAACTCGGGCACAGCCACATGCAGGCACAACAAGACTCGTCACACTGATGTCTTGGGGGCACCTTGGCAGGAGCATTTTCGTGATTCCGACGCTGAGATCGTTGACTTCGAGATCACTGTCCTGTGCCACTCCTGCTTTCACTGGCAATGGTCAGGGCCAGATTCTCTGTTCAAGGCCCAAAGTGGCGAATAACTCGGTCCAATGAAAACACTAAAATCTACACTCTACAGGTTGTGAACCCGTGCAGCTTTACCGGCCACGATCGCGGCCGCACGGCTTCCGTGCATTTCGTAAGGTCTCGAATTAAAGTACGGCCCCTGTCTTTGAAATTGGACGATCTCGCTGAAAGGCCGGTGGGGCCGTCTGAACCTTTTGAGAATAAGACGGCAGCCGCCAAGCAGATCACACCTTAACATCGATCGTGCCTGCTCCGACTGGCTTGTTGGCTGACTTGTGGCCATATGGTGGACAACATGAACAACAAAAGCAAAGCAGCAAGCCTGTGGCCACCATTGTAAAGGTCACAGCGAAAAAGAGGAAGAGGCAAACCATCGCGTCCATGCCGGTCCCCGCAAGAAAGTCTGAAGCGACTTTCCAATCTTGCGATCCGCCACTGCCACTGACGTCACCACAGAAGCCTGTAATATCGAACTCGCAAGCAGCACCATCTCCTAGACAGCGGCAAAGTGAGCCGCCGTCCCACTCGCACCTGGTACATGCAGGACCATAGTAGTAGCAGGTACATGCAGGACCGTCGTAGTAGTAGTAGTAGTAGCAGCAGCAGTAGCAGTAGTAGCGGTAGTAGTAGTAGTCGTCGTCGTCGTCGTAGTAGTCGTAGTAGTCGTAGTGGTAGTAGTAGGGTAATGGTAGTGGTAGTGGTAGTGGTAGTGGTAGTGGTAGTGGTAGTGGTAGTGGTAGTGGTAGTGGTAGTGGTGGTGGTGGTGGTAGTGGTAGTGGTAGTACTAGTACTAGTACTTGTTCTGGTACTAGTACTAGTACTAGTACTAGTACTAGTACTAGTAGTAGTAGTAGTAGTAGCAGCAGCAGCAGTAGTAGTAGTAGTAGCAGTAGTATCAGCAGCAGCAGAACCAGCTGCAGCTGAGCAGCAACGTTTCCTATAGCAATGGCAGCTACAGCTGCTACTACTGCTAGTCATTGCCATTGCACTGGTACACTGGTATTAGTGGTAGTCGTACTGGCAAGGCAAACTATTAACGCAGCTGCAGTCGCTGTTTTCGTAATACTTAATGCCAGCAGAAGTCTTAGTAGCCGTAGACGTCGCATTCGTCGGCATCGCATGATCCGTATGAGCATGGGAGTGCAAAAACCTCTCGTCGAAGCATGAGCATCAACAGTGCTACATCGCTTGCAGTGGTGCTCGAGGCTTCTGATTGTGGACATGAATTTTTAAGGTCTTGCAGGTCCAGCTGTTGACGATGTTGTTCATGCTGCGAGTATGCGAAGAAGTGCTTGTAGGTTGCATGTCACTATTGTTGCATCACCATTGCCGTTTCTAGCTTTCAGGACGAGCTACGGGCCACCACAACTCGTCAAGGAGTTTGCCTTTGCCGCCATGCAGCAGCCGAGCTCCATTCCGGTTACCTCCAGTGGCAGGTCCTCAAGACCAAGTGCTTGCGGCTGGGGGTCAAGAAAGTTTGTGGCTCCAGGGCTTCTAGATGTGGATCTCAGCAGGGTATTCCCACGAAGTCGATGGCTAATGGGAGCACAGCAATGTCACTTCCTTTTCGAGACACCCTCAGCCTGAAGTGGGATGCATGGATGTATGACGAACCTAGCCTGTGCCAAAGCTGGCAGAAAAGAGCATTCATGTCACCTTGATTGTGAAGTCCATGACTGTCTATGCCGCCACTTCTGGGAGCATATATTGTAGATGGCATGCTCAAAAAATAGCGCCCATCGCAAGATGAATGTTCCAGTGATTACAATACATACGACTATCAAAAGCGTACTAGTACTAGAACTACTGCTGCTGCTGCTGCTGCTGCTGCTGCTACTGCTACTGCTACTGCTACTGCTACTGCTACTACTACTGCTGCTACTACTTTCTACTACTGTTACGATTACTACTACTACTACTACTACTACTCCTGCTGCTACTACTACTTCTTCTTCTACTACTACTACTACGACGACTACTACGACTATATACTACTACTACTACTACTACTACTACTACTACTAACTACTACTACTATACTACTACTACTACTACTACTACTACTACTAGTACTACTACTAGTAGTAGTAGTACTACTACTACTACTACTACTACT